GGCATTCCCTCCCCTAAAGCTGTGGCACTGCCAAACGTAACACAATCTCATCTGTCATTCCCTCAAGTGAAGCCAAATTATCCAGTAACCGGTATTTCTGGGTAAAGTGGCCCACGGAGATGCAAGTTAGGGATGTGCACTGCTGCACGGGCACAGAAACGAGACCACCATGCACACCAGCAGGAGCACCGCCGCACCTCCCAAATAATTCAAAGGTGGACCCGGTGAGAAGGAGGCCTTTTATCAACTTGGGGTCCGCAGCACCCACCGAGGAGAGTGAGCGAGAGGCACCACAGACAGAAAACAGATGATCCAAGGGGCAGGACCGCTCCTCTCCGGATGCGGCCGCGTCAATCACAGGATGCAGCTGCGACGCAGGCAGCTCTTCGACAAAGCAGCCCGGCTCTCGCCTGCTTGCCCGCCTCAATTTTAGACGGGTTTACCTTCGCGGGAATAACGAGACCTGAGAATTCTGCTGGGCAACACCCAAAAGACGCTTTGATTCATACGGAAATCCGCAACACGCCAGCATTCCCAAAGCAGAGGTGGGCCAGCCACCCCAAGTGCCTGCGGGACAGCCGCTGCCAGCCCCACAGCAATCCTCTCCGAAGTGTACGATGCTTCAGACCAGCACACACCAACACGTGCCTCCAGGCAGTAGCTTCTAGGAGACTATTTACACAACTGAAAGCCTTTCTGCAAAGAAAATTGGAGCAAGCTGCAGTTTGTGAGCTTCCCCGTGCCCATTTTTAAGAAAATACGTTTCCCATGATATAAACGTGTGTGCGGTTTATAGGCGAGCTCTGCAACCACTGCATTAGAACCAAACATGGAATTATGTGCAAAGCCTGACAGTGATTTGTTTTAGTCTTGAAAATGAACAGTAGGCAATTAGAGCAACACTGCAGGACTAGGAGGTGGCTTCTGCAGCTAGGACAGACATTCTCTGGTCCGTACGGGACCCCGCTCCACCAGCCTGCCCAGTACCTTCAGTAAAAAAGTTAGGAGAAATGTAAAATGATACAAACCTAGGGGACAGCATTGGAGTGAGACTTGGAGGACTCCTCTGTGCCTCTATCGTCTCATGCCACTGCTCATCTTGTCCCGTGAACGGTAAGGATTTCTGGATCCTAACCTGTACTGTTTTCCATCGGTGGAAAGATGCATCACGGTGGGCAAGGCAGCACAGCCAGGGAGCTTCCTAGCGGTTCCAGCACGGCACAGCCCTGCCGCAGAAAGAAGCGGTCCCATGCTGATGCTGCCAGAGCCAGCCTGTCTCTTCTCCTCGACAAGATAACAGTAACAACTTAATCCAATTAACACAGCACAAAGCAAGGGTTTGTCACTCTAGGGCGGATGGGCTCCCGTGTCTCGTACGGCTTTAGCAAATGGGAAGTTTGCACTAGGTTAGGGAAAATACTCAACGTTTTGGCTTAACAGTAAAAGCAGTATATAGGAACGCATGAGCCAGCGATGGCCGAAAGCAGGGATGATGTCTATCCCTTGTGTATAATGTCTTTCCTTGCTTTGAAAGAATGTTATGTTTCTCAACGATGCCACTAAATTACTGGCTGGTTTTCCATTTGAACGTTACTGTGAAGCTGCGGTGCTTAAGCAATCATTTGTCCTGGCTGCCAAGCCACTTAATCAGTTACATGCATTTTAAATAAAAGCCGTCTAACTTACAAGAACTACATCATCTAAATTATCTACCCCAAACTGCAAGTAGAAGTATGTGCCTTTATTCTAATAATGCATGGAGAAAAAAGTTGAGAAACTACCTAGAGAATAAGCTTGCTCTTCCAGATCGTGAAATCCTGCTGCAACCAACGGCAATGGGATTTTTACTCTCTTCAGAAAAGAATTAGAAATACACCACGTTACATTTCTGCAATATCCAACCACATAACCACTAAAAAAAAAGTGGCAAGCAACTTGGGAAAACGATCGGTAATAAAAGCTGAAGACAGAGAATAGATCAACTCAAGGCTTAGATTAATACAAACAATGGAAGTGATAAATCAGAGATTCCACCCTTTCAGTGCCCAAGAGCTTAGAAAGGGGTAGAAATACAAAAAAAAACCCCCAGACTTTCCAAAGAGTCAGATATTGTGGGGTGCAGAAAGGCCAGCAGTCAGGTCTAGAGCCTGGGGGCTGGCCATGAAAATGCTTTTGCTCTCACTTTTTGTGTTGTGGCAGAAATGAAGGTGTGACAAGCAATGGGAAGTCACATTGACGTCCTGACAAATCAAGCCTCATGTCTGGGAATGGCTTCTTACCCTCCTGTTGGAATAGTTTCATTAAATACACACAATGGGTCGGATCTGAAATTTTTCATTTAACTTCAAACAAAAGGGCTACAGCTTAAGAAACACAGCCATAACACTATGAAAAAGCTTTGGAATTAAAACTGCAGTTGCCTGCAGAAATACTAATTAGCAAGAATGAATTTTTCATTTTTTGTGCCTTCCGTTCTTTACAGATATTGCTGTATTTAATGAAAATGTTGCTACATTATGTTTGTCTATCTACAACATATAGCACCACCATTTGACATCTTAACAGACTAGCTCCAAATTCAATGAAAGCAGATTTTTTTTTTGCTTGAATGAGCAGCAATAACACGTAGCTTTCTCTAAACACTCAAATGTCATCATCTCCTGACCCGATGTTCCTTTTTCAGTCGCTTTTTTCCCCTGGTTTAGAGAGGCACTGAGCTGCCAAGACAGGAAAGAGGCAGCTCTAGAAATGCTGCAAGCAGGAGTGACCTGACAGCATTGGTTTGCTGGGATGCGCAGGTTGCTGGTCCGCAAATCAGCTAAAAATGGATAATCTGCCAGGCAAGGTGATGAGATTATAGATCAGAGCAATTACAGTTGGAAGTGCTTCCCAGGACTAATTGATGAGGGCACCGTAGGTCTGAGCTGAGGGCAGCATTTGATCTGGTGGGGGCTAAGGAGAGTGCAACATGGCTCTGCGGTACCCGGGCTTGCTCCCGGATCTGCAAGCAGACCACTGGACGATACCCAGCACGAGGTATCTCAGGTAGGCAGAAGTCACCTGCTGCCAGAGTCCGCTTTCCAGTCCCGTTTCTGTGGTGCTCACATGGTTCCAGTCCCATTTCTGTGGTGCCCACAAGGTTGCCTTGAACTTCCAGCACACCAAGACCTCCTAATACCTCATCTTCCTCCACCACTTGCATCATTCCACCCCCACCACATCAAAGCAGAGAGAGACCCCCATTTCCATCCGGACCGAGGAACTCGTAGCACACAGCTATGGTCCCGCACTCACAACTGCCGCTTTGCAAAATACATGTTAGTGAAAGCCAGCATGCTTAGCAACCCATGTTTCTGATTTGAAGCCACCCTTGTAGCCCCCCCTACTACCAAGACCTTGCTACACAAACCCAAAGCTGTTCATGATTATTAGATTATTAGATTATTCATAGAATACTTTCATCTATCCAAAACAATTCCCTACCTCTGCTTTTTTTCCCCCCCCAAACAAAGATAATATGAAATAAGTGTTTTTTTCCACAGCACCATCCTCAAGGCAACTATTTTTCCGCAGAAATGCGGTCAGAATAACCTCCCCGCGGTCTCGTTGGGAAGGCAGGAACGGAGCGAAGCCTTCAGAAAAGCCAATCTTTCAGCTCCCGTTCTTCCCGCACACATCTTGAATCATCTACCGCATTTCTTCTGCTCATTTGACTTCTAAAGCTCAAGCAAAGGAGGGATTCAGACAAAAGCCAGTGGTAAAAAAGAAAAAAAAAAACCTTGGCCGCTTCCTATAGTGATCTTTGTGCAGCCCTAACCCCAGGGTTTTTTGGATGCTGGGGAGCATGGGTCAGTTTGCTTTCAGTCGGCATCAAAACCTGCGAGCTTTGCTTTGCATAGCTGCTACGTGCCGCTACAGCAAACAGCTCGAATTCAGAGGAACTGCCTAAATTCTTTAAGAGCTCCATGTGTGAAATATAATTCTGGCTTTCCAAAAAGGAAAATTCAGCTGATAAATTGCAGAAGAGTTTTAAAGAACATTAAAAAAAAAAAAAAAAAAAAAAAAAAAAAAAAAAAAAAAAAGGCTTGCACCAGACCAGCTAAGCAATTAGTGAAAAAACAAATTAAAAAACCCCAACACAGTAATAAGTATTGCAATGGTAGAAAAATGAGGTAGCACATCCCAGAGGAATGTCATACATACACCTAAATAAAACAAATAGCTGTCACACATTTGCATATCTTGATACACATTCACAAGCCCGCTATGGGCAATTGGAAAGAATTAATGAAAATTTGTCTATTAAGATGAGACTACGAAGATGTACGTAACTGGGTTGTCACCTGTGAAGTCACAGCCACTGACACTGTGGTAATCCCACAACGCACGCCAAGGAAGGGTCTGATAAATACAGAGAAATATGAAAAAATCCAGATAGATGTTTGCGAGCCAGACCAAAGCTCACGACGCAGACGGCAGCAAGCCAGCTACCTCGTTACCTTCCTCTGGCCCCGGAGATGGGAAGAAGCACCCCAGCCATCAGCTCTTGTCACCCTGCTCTCCAGAAGCCCACCATGAGCAGATCCCATTCTCTCACAGATTCATCATTATTTTTGGATAAGGAACGCACGCTTTCTCTGTTTTTTTCCAGCTTCCAATCAGTTTCCCCATTCTAAATGACTTTGAATTAGGGGAATGAACTGAAGAAACTTCTGACATAGCAGAAGAGGCTTTTGCTGCCAAAACCTGCGTAAGTATTAAAAAAAAAAAAAAAATCTGAGCTTTTGGGCAGTGATTTTTCCTCATGAAGTGGTAAAACCTTCAGGACTGGGCTACCCAACCAGGTGTGGGACCCTGAGCAAGGAGAGGGGTTTGCTTGGCCGCTACAGGGGGTACCCCCCCTTTCTGAGCCCAGGTGAGAGCCTGGACACCAAGGTAAAAGCCTTAAGGTCTGGCAAGAGCCTTCTCTCAGGCAGCATTTAAGGGCCAAACCTGTTTATTTTGGCTCTTGCTAGGTTTCCTTTACCTGCAAAACCACATACAATTTGCATGTTTGTTTTAGGTTATTTTAATAGCTCAGGAGATTAGGCCTTAACATACTGCAACTTCACTTTCAGTGTGGGCTTCTTGAAGGAAAAAACCATTTACTTTTAATAACAATCTTGTATCCTGCATGTGGTGCTCAAAAGGGACCAAAAAATTCCTGGGGAAGAAGTTGGAAAAACCACTGCATTAGGAGGAAACTCGGCTATGGGTAGAGCTGCTGGTATCCACCAAGAGTGGGAAGCGATGGTAGAGGGAGAAGGGGGGATGAGAAAGACAAGAGATTAATTGGGTAAAAGAAGACAAATGATGATTCGAGGTCTTGCAGGCAAGTGAATAGGGCTGTGACTGTTTTGGGAACGAGCACACATGAGGGGAGGGGGAAGGTGGTAAAGGTCTGGGACATGCATGGCTGAGGCGGTAGGGGAACAGAGGATGGGGCGTGCACATTTCCCTCGGAGAAGAAGGCGTGAGAAGATTGCATGAATATCTGCATTCCCAGGCATGGGTAAGGGTCTGTCTGGATGCCTACATCAGGCAAAGTCCAGGACCCATGCAGGTGAAGGGGAAGTAAGTGGACCGATGTATTCATGAGAGCACACCTCAGTGTCTAGATTATTTTTCATCACAGAGTATGAATAAAACAGGTGCCAAAAGAAAGAAATCTTTCAAATAAGAATTAAAACCACCTTTAGTTATTGTTCTTAGCCTGTGGTACTTATTAGGAAGTCTTGGGAAAACACATCTGGATTCCCAAATTTCTTTTGCATGAGCTGCTGTTCTTCAGCAGGGAGGAGGATGATGGGGCTGAAGGAGCATCTTCCCTACCCTTCCACAGCATGCATGGAGGAGCATGGAACAACTCTTCATTAAGAGCAAGCTATTTGTCACTTAAGGGCAGCCCCTTTCGTTAGAGTTGTACTCGTCTACCGCAGCCGCTCAAGTCCAAGCGCAACACATACCCACCACCGAGGAGAAGCAGCCCCTCAGCCCTGGGACACTGCAGCTACTGTTCCCTCTCTGGGCTTTGTTTTCCATCTTCCCTTGTTTTTCCCCAACAAGCCATGGCGCAATCACTGCTCCCGCACGCTCCCCTCCCCAAAGCCCAGCTGTCAATACCCCCTCGCTCCGCTCCTCGATATGCGAGCGCTCTGGAGTCAATCTTCCCATGAAAATCAAGTCAATGACCTGCCCTTCCCTGTTCCTTGAGAACCAAAAAAAACCAAAAACCAAAACAAAACAAAAAGACAGCCATAATTTTTCTTCCCCTCAGTTCTCATGTGTTGTTAATGTTCACTCGAGTTGTTAGGCAATACAAAATGCATTAATTCCTCCAAAGTGAGTTCACCATGAAAGATTTAATTGTGGCTGATTAGGCATAGTTTTCTCTTTCCCCCCCCCCCTCTTTTTTTTTTTTTTTGGTTGGAGGAAAAAGAAGAGTAGAATGCAAAGATATTTTTCACTCAAAGCCCACGTTAGCCTTATTATCTAATCAAGTGGAAAGGCCTTTGTCTGCCCTGGCCCAGCCAAAAAAAAAGAAAGAAAAAGTGCAGCAATAAAAACCTTTAAGATTTTTCTCCATCCTTTGTTATCCCAAAAGACCCAAGTTTAGTCAATTGCTGTCACATCACTAGAAAGAAAGAGAAGAGGAAAACAGAAAAGAAAGAGAAAAGACACTGCTGTAGCTGTTTGAAAAAAAAAAAAAAGGCACTTTTTGTACCCCATGAAGAAGTCTGGTACACAAAATTGCACAGTAACTTTTAAAAGATTTGCATTTAAAAGATTGAATACAGGTCGCTTCCTTGTGACCATAGAAACATTAGAAAAGGTGGAAAATTCAGTCTACTGAACTTCAAATGACTTTATTAAAGTGTCACTAATCAGAAGCCAAGGACACAAGGTTTTAGTGTTTGGGCTAACAAAGTGAGTAACCCTCAAAAGTTGAATGACCTTCTAAGAGCATTATTTTTAAAAAAAAAACACACACTTGTTGACAGCAAGTTAAATAAGAAACTTGATTGCCTCTAAGAAATGAGTAATCCCATACAGCTCACAAGAACACAACTGAACCATGTCTCTGAAAACAGGAAGATATAATTCATGCAAGACAAAAAAGCTCCCAAATTTTTAAATATTACACTACAAGCACAAGCAAGCATGTCCTTTTGTTTGTGGCAGTTTAAGACAAACTTTAAATTAAATATATGAAATAATAATTTGAAGTTACCCCCCCATGTAAAGAAACATGGGGATGAGGGCAAATATCTAGCAAGTCCCACAAAGAAATGCTGTTTATCCATTTCAGCAGTCACGGGGCACAGGCAGACATTGATAAATCACTGAAAATAAGTTACACCCACATGACATCTTTTATCATTAATCAGAAGGTTATCCTGATCACAGCTCATTGAATATATTCATTCACCTGAGGTCCCACCACCCTTACCAGGCGGGCATCATCTCCAGCTCAGTTTTGTCTCCAAACTTAGACCAGATGCTCCATGCTGAAAACTCCGTGTTCCTCCCAGTACAACACCCCGCAGCTCGGAGCAGTTCTCTCAGTTCATGTAGCAAGGATTTTTCTCAAGGGCACCGTTCTTCGGAATCCTCACTACTGCATCTTCCTTCTGTTTTGCTTATTCAAGTCTTCCTAAATGCTTCTAGTGAAATATTTTTACCATTGTTTCTCACTTTATGGGTTGGGGCGTTTGGTGGTGGGGTTTTTGGTTTGTTGGGTTTGGTTTTTTGTGCTCCCCCCCCCAAAAAAAAAAAAACTGAAGCAAGCAAACTTTTCTACCTTAGAAAAACACTGCATAGCAAAACTGGGGTGTATTGCTAGAGGAGATATCTGTTTGCACACTTGAATTCAGGTTGTGCAGAAACCAAGAGATGGGAAGCTCCTGTTGAGAAGATCCCACTAGACTGATGCCCTTGATATGCAGAAGCTGATGCAGTTACGCGACTTCACTGCAAAAGCTGACTTCGCTGTTACCTATCTAGTTACATTCAGCATAGCATGAATATACCTACGTATACTTTCATACTTTCATCTGTTGTTCCACACCTTTGTGGACTTAACTTCTACTCAGTCTTAACGCATGGCTTAACTCTACCTGCTGGACCCACAAATACTGTGCCCTGCTCTATCTAAACATCCCCCTT